CCGCCAGCAGGCCAGCGTTCTCCTGCAATGCCAGTGCCCGCCAGCAGGCCAGCGTTCTCCTGCAATGCCAGTGCCCGCCAGCAGCCCAGCGTTCTCCTGCAATGCCAGAGCCCGCCAGCAGCCCAGCGTTCTCCTGCAATGCCAGTGCCCGCCAGCAGTCCAGCGTTCTCCAGCTTCTTTAGCACTACCAGACATCATTGGAGTTGGGGCAATGATGGCTGCCAGCAGATCACTGAGACTTCTTTCAGAGCTGAGATTGGGACAGGGTGTGGTGGGCGCCGGGATGGCCAACCGTTGCGGGGAAGCAGTGCAGCACCGTTGAAATGGTTCCACATAGCAGAGCATTTCCCGGTGCGCTCTCGAGCTGTGTAAATACCCCCTGTGTTGTGCGTTATTGTAAATACTTGTGGTTTTCCCAAATGTCGTGGGTGCCCTTGCTTGTGTTCTGTGTGAATCTTGTCTGATCTTCACGTGTTTGTAAACTACTGTTGTAGAAATTTATGACAATACAGACGGATGCCTTTGTATGTGACTTCGCTTTATTATTGAGCTCAAAGGAACAACCACTCAGCTGCCACCTTTATGGTAATGTTCCAAAGACTTTCTGGTCAACATAACCTTTATAGGGGTACATTCACAGTTCGTGCCCCCTTTTCTGAGCCAGATCAAACTGGTTAGGGTAGGGGGTGCACTTTGTAACACACATATGTCTTATGCAGATTGCATCTTTCAAACATGTATACTTCACGTGATCAGCATGCTGCAGGCCTGGGGCGTCTACGCTTTTGCATGGTCTCAATCTTTGTGGTGTTCTTGCCATGTCTGCTAAGTGAGTTCAATGCTCATACTGTTGTCCCCCAATCTGCAATTCTTTTCAAATCTAACAAGGACTATGCTCCAAAACACTATCTGTCACCCAGGCATTCTTGCAATAATATATAAAACATACATTCTAAAAGCTAGTTAAGAAAAATAAACCCTCTGTTCAATTTTCTATCACACTACACACTATGTGTGTTCTACTGTCTGGCATCAGACCTCCCTGCGTTTCTCTGTTATGTGGTCGGAGTGGTTACTGTTGTCTGTGCAGTGCTTTTAAGGGCTCCAATTAAAGAGTCGTCTTGTTTGAAGCCGTCTTGCCTCATCTCGTTCCTGCCACTGCTATGTCTGGGTCTGCCAAGCGTGACAATATTATTGTACTCAATTTCCTCCAGTACCTGCATTGCTATGACTTTCTCTATTATTTTAGATACAAAAGGGAGTTTGGAAATAAGCATATAATTACTTGGATCTTACTGGTCGAGGTTTGGTTTCTTGAGCAAGGGCTGCGCCACAGCAGATTTAAAGTAATTAGGAACCACATCAGTGGCCAAAAAAAAAACAAATAGACATAAGAACTGCAGTTATTGTGTCCCTGGCTTCCTTGAGCACTCTACTGGGTATGACACCTACAGGACTAGGTGATGATTTAAGCTGCAATGAGTTCTTGCTATGAAAACAATTTCAACAAACTCAACTGGACCCTTTCCAAATATTGTACCTCACTGTAAAGCTGAGGACACCCAACAGAAGTCTTAATTTTGATAACTTTATTAGTGAAAAAACTTAAGAACTGTTCACATGTAACAATGCTTGAAGCTGTTTTTTGTAACTTTTAAACAGAAACCTGGCGGTCGGTGTGCATATTAGTATTACTAAGGAGTGACCAAGAGAACAAACAGAAGTTGTTTAATTTTTGATGGGTGTTTCTGACCTACCTTGTACTAGTGACTGGCAGACAGAGAGAGGAATATATCAGCTGATGTGCCAGCAGGAATTGCAGCATTTTCGTTTTGATATGTACGAGTATTATTCTGAAAAAAAAAGAAAGAGGAACACATGAGAGAGATGGACCGGAAGTGAGAGACTGTGACGAACCACAGGCCAGACTGTTAATCGTCTGACAAAGCTAACCTCCATTGATATGCCCGTCTCCTGTCTGGAAATACACCCAGCGAGCTGTACAGTACAAAGGAGCGCTTACCTGGGGCATCGGAGCCTGGAAATCATCGGCACAAAGGGGGAATTCCAGGTGGGCACACTGGGAGGCCAAACTACACACCTTTTTATCCAGTTTAGACTCGGAGTACTTTTACTTAGCTGCTTTTGTGTCATTTTTGTGTTGGTGTAACAAAGCAGAAGAGGGAACATTTCAGTTGTGCAAACAGTATCAGTGTGAAACACTGGCGCTGAGTTTCTTGTTAATAAGTAAACATATATAAAAAATTTAACAACACTGTTGCTGCTTTTTCCACTGCCTCTGTATTCTTGTTTCCGTATAAAAAGAAACAGCAGTTTGTTAAACTGGAAGGAAAACAACCTTTTTCTTGGAAACTTTTGTTATATTGGTGGACCAGGGACAACTGTTGAATCAAATCCGATATATATTTCCTAATTAATCTGCGTACTCTTAGTTTGACGTGTTTCATCAGCATCAGAGCTGCTGCAGTAGTGGAGGGTGGTATCACCAGGGTTGGCTGTTCAACTGCGTTAAAAGTCTGTTTAACAACTGACCCCTTTCAACAATGGTCCCTGGTCTCTGCTACTCAGTGTAAACCTATATAAGCATCACATCATTGCAGTCAATAAAAAGGAGTTAATTCGATTTAAAATGTTCTGCAGTCTTCATATTAAAAGTTGGTACAACTTTACAATAAGGCTCCCTTTTGCCACTTGTAAATGGTAATAACTCATTAATAAAAAGAAAATTGTGTTATAACTTACAGTGTTACAAGCCAATTAAAAACTAGATTATAACCCATTTATAAACCCTTTATATGGGTAGCCTTATTGTAAAGTGGCACCGAAAAGTTTCCCTCTTGATTTAATTCATGTACAATATAAAAAGCCAGACACAGAGACGATCTTTTGTATCTCCTTTAATGTCAGTCAAAAAACTATTTCTTTTAAAGTTTTACAGTAAAACTGTTTTACATTCAATGCTCTTATCTACAGCATTAAACTATTCCACTATCCTGACAAGTGAAGTGATCATTGAAGATTGTGTGAAGACCACAGCTCAGGGCTCCAACAGGACCCTACGGGATCCCGCAGTCTCCTCTGTGCAAGACCAACCATGGCTGCAGGGAGAAACAGAAAGACAATATTTCTGGCCCTTATCCTGACCTTTATCCTCAGCAAATATGTTATATATCAGTGGTTTATGAAATGGTTCAATGACAGGTCAAGGCTTGGTACTGAGCGAGAGGATATCAGGGTCCTGATGTGGCACTGGCCATTTGAACAGAACCAGACCCTGCAGGAGGACATTTGCAGGACAAAATACCATGTTGGTGGCTGCCACCTTGTGGACAACCGCAGTCTATACCATCAGGCTGACGTGGTGGTCTTTCACAACCGTAAGCTACAAACAGGCATCTCCAGGCTGCCCCTTGACCAACCTCGTCCGACAGCCCAAAAGTGGGTGTGGCTCTCCCTGGAGTCTCCATCCCATAATGGGGACCTGAGACCTTATGGGG